TTGCAATGTTTATTTAGTGTCTAACTTACCGATGTATTATCTAATTATCAAAAATCTCACGATAAACTATATTGGCTGTGTAATATCCTTGATCTGTTATCCAGCTAACATCTGTAACGATCTTAATATTTCGGCGGGAACATACTCGGGAAAGAGCCACATACAATTGTCCGTGAGTAAATACTGGCTCTGGAAGGTAAAGCCCAAGGTTTGGAATAGTTTGTCCCTGCACTTTATTTATTGTTAAAGCAAAGGCCAACTTAATTGGAAATTGACGTCGACGGAGCTTGAATGAAAGTTCTGTATCAGATAGCTCAAGAACTATACGTGGAATGAAAACACATAATCCTGGACATGAACCTGTAACAACTTCAGCATCAAGTACATGTTGTTGAAAGTCTCGAATTATTAGGCGTGTCTCATTGCACAAATCTTTTTTTGTATTTAGATTGCGAAGTAATATAATGGGTACACCTTTTTTAAGATTTAATTTGTGAGGAGGCATACCATTTGGAGAAAGTGTATTAAGAAACTCCAGAGGATATAAATTATTATTAATACTCTTAGCATCCCCAACAGAGTCTGCGGAGCAATAAGTCTTTTCCTCACCAGGAAAATCAGATAAGATCAAATTATTGATTTCAGCAACTCCTTGATTTTTGGTTGTCAAAATTGCACGTTCCAAAAAATATTGACGATCATTCCATCTTGTTTGTAGGTCACTGTATATGTAATTAATTAGTTTCTGTAGCCGACCTTCGAGCATTATGTCATCGGGCAAATGAATGAAATCCTGGCCAATATTAGGGTAAGTGAGTTCTTTTCCCTCTCCAATTCAAAGAAGATAATCAGCGAATTCACGATCTTCTGCTGCATTAGAATCATTCGTTTGTTGAAGACGCATGTTTCTTGTAAGTGGCATTTGCTGAATTGAATTCCAAAGATAAGAACGTTTAAGACTGGCATTAACGATTTGTCCTTGTGACCCACAAATAATAACTGGCAATATTTGGCAAAAATCACCTCCAAGTACTATAAGCTTTCCACCAAATGTCAGTAATATCACGTAATAACCTATCAACAGCTTTGAATACAAATTTGTTAACCATAGGGGCTTCGTCCCAAACTATTAACTTTGATTCTCTTAACAGACGGGCATTCTCAGATTGTTTTAATAACTGACATGTTGAAGTTTCATTTAGTTTTAAAGAAATCTTTAATTGAGAATGTGCAGTTCGACCGCCTATAAGCAATAATGCTGTAATCCCTGATGAAGCTAGAGCTAGTGCGATCTGATTCCGAATGCGAAAGTAGGCTAAAAGAATATTATACAAAAAAGTCTTTCCAGAACCACCAGGGCCATCAATAAAAAAAATAGAGGGTCTGGATTTGATTGTTCCGCAGCTGCTACTACAGCATCATATATTGCACGTTGTTTATTATTTAGTAAAGAAACACCTTCAAGAATCTGCTGCAATTTGTCCTGTGGAAAAGTTGTCTCTTCTATAAAAAGCTGTGTTTGTTTATTACAATCCAATAAATCATAATGTATGGCAGGTAATTCAGGAAAGTCTTCAAGGCTCTTTCCACATTGTTTAATGTGATCTTTAATTTCAAGTAAAGCACGGCTTATTATTAAAGGATTCTCTGGTGTGGCGTTTTGGCCAAGCTGTTGTGTGGCATATACGAAATCTTCTGTTAGAGCCGGCAAGTAAGCATCCCACAAATCTCTGACACCTGCTGGCTGGCAATAAACTAATATAGTTGCGAATAAGAGGCATAGCTGTGATGGCATTTGAAAAAAGCTTGCTTCAGATAAGCAGTTAAACCATTCATCATCACTTTCTAAAAAACCTAATTGTTGCGCAGCTTGTTTGAATGTTGGATAGGTGATACTATTAACTGTACGCAGGTTTTCAAATGATTTTGGACCACGAATATGACATAGCAAAAAACGTAAGCAAAAGCGTTCTGGATCGTTTGGTGGACAGTAATATAGTCTCCCAATCACTTTGTTTCCACTTCTTTTTCAACGGTGCCAGGCCTCTTTTTTCCAATGGAAGAATTTTGGAAATTCTAAATATAGGAGTCCTGCAGCTTCTGGATTATTCCTACATACTTCGAAGAATCTCTGAGTTTTGTGTGCATGGCTGTTGATAAAATTTCACTTGGATTTGAACGCGCATTAAAAAGAACTGATTGTTGGTTTGGTAAGTGCACCTATAATTAAAAATAAAAATATTTAAATTATACTTAGAAGCAGTTAAAAAAAAAAAAAGATTTTTTCATTCTTACATGCAGTCTTTCTACTCGATGAGATCTTTTTTGTAGGTCATAGGAGAAAATTCTCCAACATGCTTCAGAAGCTGAAACATACCGAGCATCAAGATATTTTTGGATCTCATCATAAGCTGCGTTCCTAGTACCATCATTCTGAACAACAACTAAAGCCCAGTTATGCCCTTTATAGACATATTTGTATAAGTATTTGACTGACGTGATAGTAGAACAAATTTCTACATTAACGTGACAGTCATACTTTTGGCATAAGTATGGGTTGTATGGTACTACTCACTTATTTATTTAGTTGACTATTAGTCAATATTAACTATTACATAAAAAAGAAACATAATTTACTAACATATCTATTGTTTAATATACAGCTTCTTAATTGAATAGTGTGCCCGTTGTCCCGCCGTCTATATAACGGATATCCATTTTTATTCTCCGTAGTAATATCAATAAAGTGCTTGGGATAGTTTTTTGAACAGGTATCATTTTGTATACATGAAGCATTTGGTGCAAGTATACTACAAGGCCCATGTATCATACATCGAGTAACAGTCTCATAAAGCTGTGGCTGACGAATAGGGTCGGGAAGTTCAGCAGATACAATACTGTCATAATCAGATGGCGTTCATGGTTTATCCTCTTCTGCAAGTATTATTAATATATGTGCGTGCAGAAGTCCTCTTTTTTGAAACTCAATGACTAATACAAATGCCACTACCTTCCCTAATATATTTCTTATAAGATTTTTTAAAATTTCTTTTAACTTGAGATTAAAAACACGGGCAATAATATCAGGCCAATTACTTGACATTTGTCTGTCATAGAGCTCAACACAAATCTCAGGCCAATTGGGGTTGCATATAACTGTAATGAATAGATTTGGCTTCCCAAATTCGCGCACAATTGCCATTGCATCTTGATAGCATTGGCTCATATAATGATCACCACCAGTAAATGATGAAGGCAGAATGATTCGAGTCTCTATATTGCTAAGATCTTGGAAGTCATTTGCCATTGCATCAGCAAGTCCTTGATAAAGATCTGCACGAAGTGTACGTTGATTCATTCTATGCCAGAGAAGTCTATTCTGTTTAATTTTAGCATACTGATCAACAATGTATTGGTGAAAAAGACGCCCAGCATGATGAAGTATACCATCAACAGGGTTGCATATATGTAAACGATATGCTGCATGGTCTCGCCATGTTTGTCTCAATTCATTGTCTGAATCCCCATTCTCAGAATCATTATCACTTGCAAGCTCATAGCTTTCATGATGGTTAGATCTGGCACTTGTTGAATAAGGAATATTGGGATACCACCCAAGCTGGCCATATGAAAATAGTAATGGATACTGAAGTGCATCGTATGCAGCATGGCATTCTGATATTCACTGCAATTGACCCTGGTTAGTCCGGAGAAGAATATTACGACCACTATTGATAGTACTGTCATCAATCATTAAAACCGCAACTTCATTAGCAGTAGGGCGGTTATAACGCCGTACATCATACCCTTAACCACTTAAAATTTTTAACACAACAGGTTGACCTTTACGCACAAATTGGCCAGCACTATGAAAAACTTGAGCAAAAGAATTATGCATATGAAGCTCATGCTGAATATCTGCTAAAAGAAAAGTGTCTAAAGTTGGAAACACGCTGTGACGGTAGCTCAATTCAGCTTCAAAATTGCCATTATATATATATATTTGTGAGAATTTGGATATACAATTCTCTGCAGGAAGCATTGAACCAATTCGATAATAAATTGCACCTTGAATACGATAGGTATATACCCCATTAGCACCATTTGCAAGATGTGGATCAATTGATGCTCCCATCAATGTGAATGCAAAAACTGAATTGAACGACCAAATTGTTTCAAATATGGTTTTCTGGTCATGGGTGAATTTTCCGTAAGCAGCCTTAAAATTAATGGAGGTGCATTACCTAATGGTGTCAAAACAACTTTTCCATTATGGTAGCAATTAGTTGAGGACTCCGTTGGCCAACGTACAGCTTGACAGTGTTTACAACAAATTGACATTCGTTGAAGCATATGTCAGCCACTAATCACATTTTTTTCACTAATAATTAATGGATTAAAATTATCAATTATACTCTAAGCAAGATTATGTGTTGTTTTAGTACGTCTCTGAATGGATTGGGTCTGAACAGGTATGATATTAAGTTCAGGTTGAGAAGCTCCATCAAATTGATAATCTATATTGGCCAAATATTAAAATTAGAATATAATTACCTATTTGTTAACTATTTATCAGGCTAAAATATTCTCAAATTTAATAGTATATAACAACAGGAATGAAGAATGCTATGTATAATTAACGATTTTTTAATTCAAATAACTTTAGGTATATGAAGTCGAATAAGCTGAATTTAATTATGATATATATATATTATAATCACTAAAACAGCTTAACAAACCTCTGATTTGGTTATTTGATATCTCATTTGTTGATTGTGAAGAATTTGCTAAATCATTATAGTATTTTCTAGCAGCATTAATCTTTCAGATCATTCATTTTCTTCGATCATCAGGGTTTCTTTACGATCTGGGGTTCAGTATCGTTCATCCTGTCGAATATGAGGCGGCGTTTCAGGTCTTGTTCGTTTTCGGGCTATTTTTTATTTTTAAGATTTTGTTTTAATTACTAACAATAAGAGTTCTGTGATCAATTTACACTAAGAGGAATAAATATATAATAGCGAAGAGTCACATGACATAGTTAACGCAATGTGGTAACTATAATATATAAAATTGGTATATAATTTTATTTCTGAAATGTATGCTTTTCACCTTGTATATTTTATTATTATGAAAATTTTTACTCAAATTTTTAAATAAACTTTAAATCAGACTTCATGCTTAGACTGGTTGTTTTAAGGCGCTAAGCATTTTTAATTAATATTTGGATTTGTTTCAATCACAACTTCTATAGCTTGAGGTTTCGCTAAATAAATAATCTTCACTATCCATTATTATGATATTACGATTATGAATAAGTTATGTAAAATTTTTTTTTTGCGATCAAGATAAAATACGAATTTATAAGAAAGAATTCTCTATTCAATGTTACGTATAAAAATATGTCATTTATTCATGCCAAAATATTAATGCATCATTATTATTAATCGAAGTATCAATAGATATCAAAAACAAAAAATTCTCAAATTTATATGTTACGTATAAAATATATCATTTATTCATGCCAATATTAATATTAATTGAAGTATCAGATAGTTTAATAGATATCCAACTATCTGCAGAAATATTTTCATTATCCGATATGAACAGATATTTAATAGAAAATCCAACGGATTTTTTAAACAGATCCAAGCACTACTGGTTGAAATTTTAAATTTAAATATTATATTTGACCAATTTGACCAGTACAGATCCTTTGACCAGACCGGTCAAATTGGTCAAATTGATCTGGTCCAATGGTCAAACTGGTCTGATCAAGCCAACACCTGATAACAAACTATTAGATTGAACGGACTTGGTAGACTAATTTTTTATCGGTTTTGAGAGGGTTAACTGTATATGTCATATGTCGAAATGGAATTATTGCGAGTTTAGAATCCACTTAGGTTGGAATGGAATTCCAAATGTAACCCAAGTTGATACAAATTTTAAAAGCAACCTAAATTGATTCTAAATTTGATAATCGTAAATTTAATATCAAGATGACTTCAAATTCCACAATAAATGTATAATTGTTAAATAAATTACACCATATCATCATAATAATTGTCAAGATAAAATACAAAATTTTATTATTTTATTATTTCACTTTTCGTCCTTTGCAAAAACATTCTATCTGATAACCAAATCTTAAGATTAACCATTTTTACCTTTTAATATATTTAAAGAAATATCTTAGCAGCAAATCGACTAATAGTCAATATAAAACTTTTATATCATGTGAAGACTTTGATTTTTGTATTAAGGTTTTACATACAGTAGATCTAGCAAATGTAAGAAAATGATCGAAAGACACTTCTTGCAAGATCCTCGAATAATACATATTGCTTGGATACTCCAGCATTATTGGATTACTTATAAGTTTTTAGAAGATACTGTAGTACAGTCGACTCTGAATATATGAACATTTCTATAATAACCTTCTGATATAATGAACACAACAATTTTCTATACCAAATTTTTTTTCAACACACATAAGCATTCAAGTATTTATTATGCAAGTAGATAATATTGTGAAAAAATCATTGTAGATGAAAAAAATATATATCATTTGGAATACTAATCATGGATGCAAAAACTTCAAGTAATGCTTTTAAATTTAATTAATAAATAAACTGACTTAAGCAACTAAATTTCAAAACATTTCAAAACAAAGTACTCGATGAAATAATTTGGAATACACTTAATTTTAGCATAAGTTGAATTGGAATTCTTTAACGTCTTAGGCTCATTTTAGAATTTTATTACAACTTATGTTTATTTGGAATCAATCTAGATGGGTTCTAAATCCATTCCGATGTACGACATATATACAAAAAGCCTGCTAGCTTCAAACTACAGAAACTCTAATAATCATATATAGTTTTTTAAAGTATAGTATAAATGCAAATAACCCGGGTAATAATTAATCTATAAATTAAGGTATTATGAAAGATAAGTTGTTATGTGCAAGATCTGAAAAAAGCAGGTGGTGTTTAAAGAATGTGTATACATGACATGTGAGTATAGTAAATATATATGTGTGTCATTATGTGCAAGATTCGAAAAAAGCAGGTGGTGTTTAAAAAAACGCGTATATATGTGAACACGTATATATATATGAGTATAGTATATGTGTGTCGATCATTTTTACTTTAGCCAATCATCGAATTATTTACCGTAATACACATTTGTATTTTAATGTATTAGATTAACAAATATATATATATTTATAATAATATAAATTACCAATTTAAAACATTAATTAATTTATTTGTAAATTCTTGTTTTATTTTATCTTTTTTATTTAATACTAAATTTAAATTTTCAACTTCATTATCATTATTATTATTGCTATTATTATTATTATTATTATTATTATTATTATTATTATTTTCCTTTAATAACCTCGCACTAATTTATTAGTCTTTTAGCAATTTACAAATTAAAATTAACTATCTAATTTACCAATTAGGCAAATATCCAGCTGCTATAAAAGTGCCCAAGTATAGTTATTATACTGATATTGCTAACAAGCTCTACATACAGTAATATCTGTATTTAAAAACTTGCTATAGCTTGGTACTCAGCTATCTACATTCAAACTGATTATATTTTACCTTCCTTCTAGACTTATTCCATCAATGTTCGGGCAGAATATATTTTCTCTTACTTCTGCATAGCGCAAACATATATGCCAATTTACAAAAGAAAGACTTTTTTTAAGAGCTGATCCCTTTTTTTGAGTTATTCCACCTTAAATTTTGGTAATATCTTTCCAAACTCAATCCACTTAAATCCCAGCAGATTATACATATTATCTTCTACTTCTACATAAGACTAATATATATGCCAACATTATGAAGAAAGATACATTTAAAGAGACACTCTAAAAGCTCTCTCATAACTAAAAAAAAATAAAAATTGTTCTAAAAAAGAAAACAAAAACAAAAGAGAAAATGAAACAAATAAAAAAAAGGAAAGAGGAACCTAAACCGATTCTAATATAAATGAAAATAAATAAAACAAGCAGAAAAAAGAAAAAATTAAGTGATCCAATACACTATTATAACCCGTACCAGGTGATTTAAAAATTATATCCCAGATGCAATATCTGTATATCTCTGTTATAAGTCTAAACTTAACCTTAAAATTTCCTCCAACCTATTTCTGAATCTTTTTAATAACCTAGTTCGTATCTCAAACCAAGTGCTGCTGCTGTACTAGAATCTGACTCTCTATATATGGCACCAACAATGACAAAGATTGTGACATTTCTGTAAAAGCGCTGTCACTTGGGTACTCGTGTCTCAAGCCACTTGGTGCCGCTACCAGGAATTTCTTTTTTGACCGAGACTCGTTTCAGGGCTCGTACTATGTATTCGTCTCCAAACATGTAGTTGCTATTTACCGGTCTATCCAGATTTGGTAAGTAAACAATGCCAATTTTTTGGAGAGGATAAGCCAAATCCCCACTTTTTATAAAAAAATTTTTGAAGACTAACAGAAAAACAATAAAAGGTAAAGAGAGACCACTTGAGCTTCAAACCAATTTAAAAGAGTGTGAATTTACTTTTCTATAGTCAAAACCTATCGCCCAACACCTGCTTAACATTTTTTTAGTGAATGATAAACTCTGGGCTTGTTGGCAGATAGCATATAAGAACTACCTTTAAATGACAAGTGCTGAGACTTTGCAGTGAGTGATAAACTCTGAGCCTGTCGGCAAGTAGCATATGAGAACTACTTCTAAACAACAAGTACTAACTTATTGTCTAGTATGTCAAGTGCCGGCTTGTAAAGTCTCTTTTTGTAGTAAAATGTTTTTTAGAAAATATAGTTCAAGTGATTGTTTTTTTTTTTTTTATTGATTAAGGAGACCTCTTTGGCCTGAAAGCTTTTATTAGGATTTGAAACGGTGTTTTATAT